TGGTGATGGCTGGTGATCCTTGGCATTCAGCGCGTGTCTTATACGGGCATTATGCCCATCATGTGACTGTCTACTCTGTCAGTGTCTCTATGCTGTCTTCTCTCTGCATATGTCTGTCTCTGTTCAAGTTCCTCTTTTTAGAAGGACATTGTTTATAATGTTTTAGGGTCTACCCTAATGACCTCATTTTAACTTGATTCAGTCTGTAAAGACCCTACTCCCAAATAAGATCACAAAATACTGGCCATTAGGATTTCAACATGTCTTTTTAGGGGRAAGGGTATACAATCCATAACAGTAAGATTTTGAAAAATGAAGTTTCTAAAAATTTAATAAACATTGAATGTACCTATAATCATAATTATATACAAAAAGGGAAAATGTGTTTTCTTTCTTCAGCAATGACATGAGCTTTATAGTGCTTGAGCCCAGAGAAAGATCATAAGGACCTTGAATCTTTGGCTCTCCATCCCGTGTGGTTTGAGACATGGACACCCAGGTTATTTTTAAATAATACCTTCCCATCTGGGCAGGAATAAAAATAAATAAATAAATAAATAAATAAATAAATAAATATTCAGTGCTTGGAATATAATACCATAAATTATTTATAATGTTTTATCCTCCTAAGGGCTTCCTATGACTAAAATCAGGAAGGAAGAATAAGAAATTGGATAAGGTTTTAAAAAATTGGGACACAAATTTGAGATGCCATGATCACAGAACAGGATCAACTGATAAGATCACTTCAATTTCTACACCTCAGCGAGGGAAGAGAGTGCTTGGGATTTGCCACTGAATGAGCTGGTTGTCGCTCTGGGAGGAAAGACTTTGAGCAGGACCCTGTATGCTTGCTAGACCAACCTTTAACAGGCTTGCMGGGATACAACCATCTAGCAGATCAGAAGGAACCCAGAAGAGCTCCTCACCACAAGGTTTCAGAAGATCTTTCTCCTTATTTCCAATCTCTTCTATGGTGATTTTGGGACCCCACATAGCATCAGGACAGGCCTGGCTTTAAGCCCAGTGTTTAGYGAGCACGTGTCAATGGTTTGCAGATGCCTAAACTCTCTCCTCTGCAGTTGCTCTCTCCGTTTATAAAATACTCCTTATCTCTACTTGCACCCCAATCAAGTTCTCTTTAGCCATCCCATTTGTCCTCAAATCTGACTCCTTTCTTCCTTGGGGTCCTTCTCAACCTCCTGCTGCTATAAACAAAGGAACTAAGAGCTTAATCTTGTGTCAYGCACTCTCAACCTGATGCCATTCTCTAAAGCCTGGAATGCCCTTGGTAACACCTCTTCCTTCCGGCTATCTGTCCTCTTCAAGAGACCTTGTTGCAGACTGCTCTGGAGTTTCAAAGGTCTGGAAGAAAAGCGGCCACCCTTCTTTTCTTCATGGCCTCTTTTAGATCACTGTGTTTGGGTTTAGATCACAGTGTTTGGGTGAGGTTTAAGTGGGAGAAACCACGTCAACTATTGGGTACACAGGGCTTGACATAGAGTAAGTGCTCCGTTATGTAATCTAGTTACATTCTCCAAGTCTCCCTCTTTTCGTCTCTCCAAACCATCCATACACCATCCATCTTGCTATTTCCTTCACTGTCTTTCTTACCAAAGCCCACTGCCTCCCATCTGGACCAGGGATAGAAATTCTTAAGCCAGTCTCCTTATCTCCAATCTCTTCTCCTACTCCCTAATTAATATGGATAATGTTACCCTGCTGCTCAGAAATGTCAATGCTTTCTTGTTGGCTTGCTTTGAAACCAAGCCCTTCCTATCCAGTACTACCTCAAATTTCCCAGTGTGTCTTCAACCAGATTATAGTGGGAAGAAAAAGTGGGAAGAAAAAGTCTTCTACCTCTCCCATGTCTGTTCCATTGTGGGTAATCTTCTGTCAGTCTAGAAAGTCTCCATTATCCACAAGTAGCTATCTTATGGTGCAAAGCCTCCTTCTTCCATGAAACTACTTCTTGTGTTTCTGTTTTTTTCCTGTTTTGAATCTGCTCTGTCCCCAGCTCATCTTCCTCTCCTAGAGCTTACATTTTTTGTCTCTTACTCTTTTTTCTTTAGTTTCCCTGTGGAACCTCATCTAGTGCTTCATAAGGAGAAAGCACTCAATAAATACCCACCGACTAAAATTAAACACCTTTCACACTTTAAGGTGAGAGATTCCTCTCTATTATTTGAGATCTATCCTCCAGCTGGGAAAATATCACTCACGGAAATTCCTTGGCCCAGTCTATATGCTGTGTAATCCTTCTCAAACATCCCAGATTGCATTTTTCCAGGATAATTGAATAGTGTGTTCTTTCTAATTCTGCCTTTTTGCTTTTCCAATTCCAACTACCTTATCTTGCTCACCCAAAAGCCCTACCTGTCCCAACTCCTTATCTTAATCTCCTAWAATTTAACTTCCGTCTTGCACAGAATGGTGCCTGTAAACTAAAATACTGAAGAGAATCACTCTTCTTAAAGGTCTGATCTGTTTCAGGAAGCCCAAGCCCAGTAGTTAAAAGTGTAATGAAAATGGACTGATAAGTAGCAGAATGCTGTGTCCACACAAATTGCACTGCATTGCAGGCAGGGTGCAGTTTGGAAGTTCAAGGAGAATTGTTCATGAGTTTACCATAGCTTGATGAAGGATACCTCATACCTAACAGTCACTAGCTGAGCACTGCAAAAGAGGATGGGGATTTTATGCGCATCTAAGTGATTCTTTTGAAATGTCTTTTGATTCTTTTCATTAGGCAAGATGAATCCATCTTTATGGCCATGTTGCTGGCATAAAAAGATGCACATTATATGTCAGCAACTACAGTATAATGCATTTATTTTGTGTGAGCGGAGCAAACCACTTGAGAATAGTTTATTTTGCAGAAACATGGGATTAACACTTCAATTGCTGTCCCAAGCCATAGGACCAGTGGTCTTGTCATGCAAAGACTTTTACTTCTATTATTATTATTATTATTATTATTATTATTATTATTATTATGTTCTTTAGTCTGTTCCTATATTAAGGATACACTTAGGTTAAAAAAAATTAAAGTATCTCTTATGTGTTTGGCATGACCTTTATTTATCCTGTAAGGTGGGTGTCCCCTTCTAGTGGATCTTACAAAGGAAGAAGTGAAATAGCTAATCTAAATCCTAGGAATCATGAACTTCTCACAAACCTTGATAGAGGTTCCAGTATAATTGAATTGCATGCACCTCCCAAGTGACTTTTGTATTTCTTTAGTGTAAATGACTTTATACCTACCTGCTTATCAATACATTCCCCTCTTGGGTCTTGGTAGATGCATGGACTGGATCTTTCAGCTCATGTGGATGATGATAGAGCCTAACCAAAGTTTTCCTTACATATTTGTTCAAACGATTTCCCCTTGCACTGGGAAGAGAGATAGGGCTGGACTATCACTACTTGGGGAGGGTGCTGTGAACTCACCTGTCAGTGGAATCAGACAGCCCTTGATTCCAATTCCAGTTTTCAGCTGAGAAACCCTGGCAAATAATGTGGTCCTCTGAGCCTCAGTTTTCTTCTCTGTAAAATGGGGTGGAGGACTTTTTTTTTTTTTTTAACCCTGCATGGGCTTGCTTGACACAAGATATCTACACAAATGTTAGTTCCTCTCCCCTCTCTCTATACCTTCCTTGAAATTCTATCCATACTCTTAGGAGAAATTGGTGACATTGGGGCAGGAAAGTATTCCCTATGTCCCCTTTTGTCATTTTTCTTTTCCCCCACAGAAGGCAAACATGTCTCAAACATGTCTTCTCCTTCTGTTCCCTCCACCTATCCCTTCCCCCTCACTCCTGCTATATAACTGCCACAAAGGGAGGACAGTAAAGGAATCTAAGGACCCAGCTTCCTCCTGTGGTGTTGGTGACTCATAGGCTCATTCTGGAAAAGGACCCTATTTGGAATTTCAAACACTATCTCAGCGTTTTTTGTGGGGTCTTTTCCTGTTCCATTTCTCTCAGCCTAGAGCCCTGGGAGGTGACTTTGGCCTGGACTTTCTGAGGAAACACCCAGGCCAAGGTGCAAGCCTGTCCTACCTAGGTAGCTGGAGGAAGGGAGGGACTCGGAGTTAAAAGACTTTTCGCCGAGGAGGAATATCTCGAACTCTTTCTATCTCGGTGAATGACTCACTGGAACTCGTGTAAACACAGGTGTAATATGGGCCTGCGGAGGACTTATAAGTCCCAGCGCGATGGTAGGCCAGTGCTCTCTTCCAACCCTTGCATTCCACATGCAGAACACTAAAGTTCAAAGAGGTTAAGCAATTTGCCAGAGGCACCCCGCAGGACCTGGAATCTGCAGCCGGGATTCCCAGCCTCGATCCTCCAACCGCACCACCACCCTTCTCCCAGGGTAAGAGGAACTRGCAATGACTGTATCCACGCCGCTTTCAGAGCCTCAGACCCATACCTGGTCATTCCTCTCCGGGCCCCTCACTTCCTTCTTTCTTCCTCCTTCTCCCTCCCTAACCAGGGTCTCTCCAGGCCAACTGGATGAATGGATGCACAGCACCTATTCCCATAACTATACCTGTGCAAGCACTGTGGCTAAGAAAGCCTTCAAACACGGAAGCTTGCTTGCCCCTGCAGAACTGAGCAGAGTCATGGCTGAGGAAGGGGGTGGCCAGAGGGGGTTAGCTGGGGGGTGGGGGGGCGGGGGTCTGCTGGCGCTGGGAGTCGGGGCGGAGCTTCGCGGTGGCAAGCTGGTGGGCAGGGAGCGGGCGGGAGGAGCGGGGCGTGGAGTTTGGAAGGATCGAGGGGCTGGAGAGCTGTAGCTGCTGGGGCGGGCTCGCTGGGCTGGGGGGACGCGGAGAGGCGGCGGGGACTGCGGAGGTGCGGCGCGAGCCGCGGAGGGCGGCGTAACCGGAGGCGGAGGGGGCGGAGCCGCGCTCACAGCTGCCACCCGGCCGCCGGGCCCAGGCAGAGGCCACCCGCCCGCCGCCGGGCAAGCACCGCGCGCAGACACTCTCCAAACAATGCTCCCGGGCGCCCGGTCGGGCGGCGGACGGCGAGGCCACCGACGGCGAGGCCAGAGGAGCGCAGCCCCGAGGTGAGTCCATGCGGCTTTTTGCAAATTCGGGCTCTTTTTGTCTGGCAAACGTGGCCTCACCGGGTGGTGGTGGTGGTGGTGGTGGTGGGTTGCAAGAGCGCTGCGGTCGCCGCGCAGGGACTCCCCTGTCGGTGTCGCCCTGGGTGACAGGCGGCGGATCCCGGCGAGTGGAGCGACTGAACCGCATGCACCCGGGGTTGTGCTGGAGGTGGAGGCGCCGAGCGGGGAGAACTGGGGAGCCGGAGTGGTTTTCGATTCATTCGAGTATCGCGCTCTTTAAAGGGGGAAACTTTCCTTCGAGTTCCGGGAGCGGGGAACCGACTGTTCGGAGGGTGGTACTGGTCTGGCTGCTGTGTGCGATGGGAGACTGAAACGCTTTCCACCGCGAGCATTGTCAAAGGAGCGGAGAAGGAGAGATCGCCCGGGCTGCTCGGAACAGTTCCCTAGGACGATTTGGGAGTTAGGGTAGTTACCTCTTTTGCAGCAGCGGGCCTTGAGAAGCAACTGGGTGATACCTTTTTCCAAGCCCGAGCTGAGCTCCCTAAATGCAGTGAGCAGGTTCTTAACCTTTGCTTGTGCTGCCCCCTCCCTAACCGGCGAAACACACACACACACACACACACACACACACACACACACACACACACACACACGGAAAATAGAACCTCTCTACTTTATGTCTTGTGAATGGGAATGGAGCCGCCTGAGTATTCGCAGCAAGCAGCGGCCACTGGCTCACTGTGTGTATTTCTCCCAGGTAAAGCTCAGCCAGCACATGGTTTGCAGAGCCGGTAGCAAAGCCCAAAGGTCTAGGGGCCAGGAGTTTTGCAATGCATTTAGCCCTGAGTCGGGTTTGAAAGGCTTTATTGATCACTGGGCTGAACTATCATTAACAACGCTCTCTCTTCCTTTTCTGAAAAGGAAATGTGACGGGGAACCCTAGGGAATTCTGCAGTTTGCTATCTTGGGGTCCTGTAGAACTCAGGTGTCCTTCTTATCAGTTTAGACTGTAGTGGGTGCAGAACCACATTCCTCCTGCYGAGATTAGATTACACAGCATTGGAGAAAGAAAAAAGAAAAGAGAAAGTTGTGTGATTATAACAACTTATCCTCTGTGTGTGTTGGTTGGGAGGGGGGGTAGTTACGATTGCCACTTTCTCTCTTCTGCCTGGTTAACCCTCGCCAGCAAGAGTGTGTTGAAATCCACATGTATTTCCTTTTTCAGATGTTGCATTAATTTAATTGCAATATATAGATTTTTTTTGGTTAGAGTTTTCCGGAATTCTGTCACTTTAGAGTAAGGCATAAGTAACTTGCTGTAAATATGAGGGGTATTTTGAGCCAAGATATTTAATTTTATGGATCTGGCCACCCATTTTCTTCAGATTCTTCAAGAAATGGGGTGAGAGTGTATCTGACAGCTTTGGTCTTGTAAATTGTAGCCACAAATCTAGCGCAGAAGTTTGCAGAGACGAAGCTATTTTGTCATGGCTTAGATCAGAAAGAATGTTGAAATCTTTTTCTAATCTTACACTGCTGCCTCCCACTGCAATGGGGGAATTTGCATAATTCTGGGGGCGCCACCCCTCAGAGGTAAGGAATGTGGGCTGAGAAGGTGCCATTCCCAGGCTGAGGAGCTGGCACCTGTGAGGTGTGTCAGCTCACTCCTGCATGGTGAGCGCCACTTGCTTCATGCTTCACCATTTTTTACTTAAAACAAATAGGAGGTACTTCCAGGCAAAGAAGTGCAACATGAAAAGGGCCCTTTCTGGCCAAACAGACATGGTGGTAAATTCTGTTTGCTTTGACAGAGAAACCAGTTTTAATAGGATATAGTTAGTGATGATGGCAAATCCAGAGCTTCATTTTGTCCCCTTATTTAATGGTGTCCCCTTTAAATACCCCTCCACTCCACCCTCCATCCTGGAGATGAAACTCAGGGGTGCTTTACCACTGAGTTACACCTTCAGCCCTTTTTGTTCTATATTTCGAGACAGGATCTTGCTAAGTCAGTGAGCCTGGCCTTGGACTGTGATTGCAGGTGTKCACCTGGGCAACTGGCCCCTTTAAACACCTCTGTGTCTCTGGGAAGTTGTGTGGTGAAAGTTGAAACTGACCTGCAGAGAATTTCAGAGTTGAGGCTGAGAGCAAAGACAACATCATAAACTAGGGAGGGGGGCCTCAAGGAAACCTGCAGGATAGTTATCCCAGGCCTACCTAACTCCCAGGGCTATTGCAGGCCGATGGCTATAAAGGAGGGTGAGTGGGGGGGGGGGCTTAGAAAGTGGGGCATCTGGCACCAAGCAACGTCCCCATCACAAATTTGGGTTCCTGCTGAGGAAGGAAATGAGATGTGGCCTTGCAAAACGGCTTCTTTGTGAATCTGTGGTAGCCGCTGAGGAAGTGGTTAGATGCCAACCTCCTCAGATAGCCCAGCTTGACCAAGAGCTGGCAGGAAGCTGATGAGCCCACACAGAGCTGGTTTCCAAGCTCTCTTCCTCCATCCCACAGAGGGGGCGTGGGAGCCTCTGCCTGTCATAGATGTGAGCCTGGCAGTGTCTTCCGTGACTGGGAAGGTCTAGTCAGCCTTGGCTCATCAGCTTCCCAGGAAGAACCCACTCCCCTCCCCTGAAGACCAAAACACTCCCTCCGCTTTCCAGCTAGCCTGCATCTCTGACACTGTAAGGGAAAGAGAAGCCCTGGGCTATGCCTCCTCTGCTTGTTGAAGCCCATGACTTGTCCTAGAGAACTTGGCAGGGAATGAACCTACTACTTGGGTGTAGTTGGAGAAGAAGAATTGAAATAGCAATCATTAAAGAAAAGGATCAAAGGCTCTAGGTGGCCACTGACAGTCTGTTCTTCTGGCTGTTCCTTTAGCTTAAAGATGGAGTTGGCTTCATTGTTAGCTTGGGAGGAAAAAGGGTTCCATTTAGCTTCAGCACTCCTTGAGTATAAGCACCTCCGTCTGTGAGTGTGGGAGACAAGAAAGAGGGCGCTTCCCACAAAGGCTCTGGAATTTTCTTTGGAGCTCCTGGCACATTCCACCTGGTTAGTCCTGTTGATTGTTTAGAGAACATCAACCTCAAGCAGATTCTGTTTAGAGAACATCAACCTCAAGCAGATTCTCACGGAGCAAAGTGGAGTGAAACCCTCGGGTGAAACCCTCTCTGAGCAGTGAGAATCTGTTCACCTCCAGGACTCAAGGAAGAACAGGAATGAGGAACAGGGAGCAGCAAGCTCCTCAGTATTTCCTCAGTATCTGGAACCATGAGGTGAGATGAAGGACTGCCAGCAAAGTTGCCTTCTCTTGCCAGAAGCACCAAAACCCGTGTCCTTGGACGAGTGTCAGATTTTGTCCTTGCTGAAGTTTGCCCACCTGTAGAATGGGGATCACAGCTGCCGATGGGATGTTATTCAGATGAATTGGCTAATGTTTGAAGCCCTTTGATCTCCTCAGGGGTGAATTTACAGGGGGCATGGTGCAAACTGGGCTTCCAGCTTTACTCTCAGAAGAACTGAACTCTTTCAAGAAGCTGATCTTCACCCCTGAGCTATGATAGGGAAAATACTATCCGATAATCGCTTCTCTTATATTCTGTCCAGTTTACTTTCAGGCCAGGACTGTGATGACCATGCATTTCTCTCTCTTCTGTCTTCCTCCTTGGCTTGCAGCGCCCAGCTTTGATGACCTCACTCAGCTCAGGCAGGGTTGAACCCAAGGAAGAGGAGGGGCCAGAATTCCCAGATGTCAAATCTCCTGACAAGGTGCCCCTGGAGGATGGACCAGAACCACACCTCTTCCTCACCCATTCCCACCTCCACCTGTCCGGCATACGGATGACAATGCCCATTTCAGCCCTTCTATTTTTTTTTTTTTTTTTGGCTGGAGGGTGGTGCCAGGGATGGAACTTGGTCACTTGGTCACTGAGCCACATCCCCAGCCCTATTTTTGAATTAGATTTAGAGACAGGGTCTCACTGAGTTGCTTAGCACCTCACTTTTTGCTGAGTCTGGCTTTGAACTCAAGATCCTCCTGCCTCAGCCTCTGGAGCCGCTGGGATTACAGGCGTGTGCCATCGTGCCTGGCCCTGCTTTTATTTTAAAAAAATTTTATAAAAATTTTATTTTATTCTTGATCAAAAATTGTGAGTTATCTAAATGAAACATGTAATCCTGGCTTGGGGCCTGGAGGCCACCTGTCTGCCCTTAAATTGCTATAAGAGACATTACTAGGATAATCAACATCTTAAAACTACGTAAAGGTATTGAATCAATATTACTTTCTGGTTGTGAATTGTGTGGTTAGACGTGCAAATTATTAAATGGTTCAGGGGGAAAAGTATGTGTATGTGAAAAGATAAAGCAAAGAAAGTCAATGTAATAAATATTAGAAAATCTGGAAAAAAAATTGTGAGTTATCATCTGGAAGCCATTGTTTTAATTTGTTGTACTACTTTGAGGTTCTTCTTTCTTGGGGGCAGCGCCTTATGCTCTGGACTCCCTCTGCAGTATCTTAAAGAATATATCAAGGAAGTACAGGCTTCCCTTCTCAAACTCCATGATTCCCTCTTATAACTGTCCCACACCCTCAAGTACTCAGTGTTTTAAGGACCTGAAATGTCTTTTATTTTGCAGTCTAGTTTTTGCAGCTCCTGATAAGGTCACTCCAGTAGAGAGCGTCCAAGAACATTGTGACAAGAGCGTGAGGGCCCCAGAATAAATGGAATACTCATCTTTACCTTGTTGCTCCTCCTTATCCCACTGTGTCCTCTGTTCTCTTCCCTAATCAGATAATTAGACTCTAATAGCTAATACACCCGTCTTCTAATCAGGCCAGTGATCTGCCTTTCCAGGAGACTGCTCCAGGACCTACCTYTGTCTTCCACAAGACTACGCCAGAGGGCTGGGCACAAGATGAACCAGCACACTACTGGCCCACGATGCTCCAGACCATCCGACTGAACCCTGAGAGCCCCAAAATGTCTGCGTGCAGTGACTTTGTGGAGCATATCTGGAAGCCCGGGTCCTGCAAGAACTGCTTCTGCCTACGGAGTGACCACCAGCTGGCAGCTGGCTGTCCCCAGCCGAGAGCAGGCAGCCTGCCCCCTCCACCACGCCTGCCCCCCAGGCCTGAGAATTGCCGCCTGGAAGATGAAGGTGTGAACAGCTCACCCTACTCCAAGCCCACGATTGCTGTGAAACCCACCATGATGAGCTCAGAGACTTCCGACGTGTGGACAGAGGCCAACCTGARTGCTGACGTCCAGCAGGTGAGGCTGACTAACCCCTGTGGTATTTTAATAGGGGCTGCTTCTTTTCTAACACTTGGTGACTGGCTGGCAGCCAGGGAGGGCTGTTGGAGCAAGAATCCCGTAGGATGGCTGCCCGTTGGCTTGCCCAGAGATTGCTTTGCCCTGACTGCTGCTATTTGGCGATGGCCTCCCTCCTTTGTATCTGTCCCTTTAGGCTAATTATTGTCTCCAGTCCCTCAGATTTCCTCCTGTGATACGGAGACTTGTCTCAGGGCAGACCAAAAATGAAAAACCTCTTTTAAAAATTTCAACTGATGATTTAGCAAGGCCCTAAGCAACTTAGTGAAACCCTGTTTCAAAATATAAAATTTTAAAAAAGGGCTGGGGATGTGGCTCAGTGTTAAAGCACCCCTGGGTTCAATCCCCCATGCCAAAAAATAAAAATAAAAAATTCAACTGACAATTTTAAATGTATATACAATTAGCAGTCATTACATAATGAATCTCATGCACACAACACTCATCAACATAAGCTTCAAAATCCATCAGCTCATGACCAATCTTGTTTCATCTCTGACCTTATGCACCAATTGCATATCATTTTAGTAATGTTAAAATATAAAAGTTTTTATTAAAAAAAAACAATGCCATTACCACACTTAAAATATTAACACTAATTATTTATTATCTTCTAATACTCAGGGAGGGTTCATAATCCCCCCTCTTTTTTTTTTTTTTTTTGTACCAGGGATTGAATTCAGGGGTGCTTAAATACTTACTAAGCCTCATCCCCAGCCCTTATTTATTTATTTATTTAGAGACAGAGTTTTATTAAGTTGTTTAGGCCCTCAGCCTTCCAGGCTGCTGTACTTACAGGCATATACCACCACTACATTCAGCTTGTAATTTTGAAGCTTGGATTTAAAAAACAGTTTTGATCTAGAATCTATTGAAACAGTTACATCCCTAAAGGTTAGACCTTTCTGCTCATCTCACAGATAACCCTTAGAAAGTAATAATAATTGAGATGACACGTAGACCAGGGCTGCTGGAATTTGCTGACTTGGGACACATCTTGGAGGCTTTATGTCTAAGACATTCCTAAGAACTGCTTGCTCCATGTTGACCTCTTTGCATGTTCTAGTTTTTCTCAGCCAATGTGGTGAGTGGATCAGGAAGGGTGTGTGAGCTTTATGTGAAAACAAAGGTCAATTTTAAATCAGAGGAGGCTTAAATTGAAGAGAGGCATTTCCTGTGGTTGCTCTGAGTTCCATGTCCCTACAGGGCTGTTCCRTTTTCCCTAAACTGGTTACACCCATTCGCCAGGCCATTCCCTACACCTTCAACCTTCACCTACATCAGCCAGGGACTCTCTAAGTTCTGAATCCTTTGGGAAAGGAGCCAAATGCAGGCCCTACTTTGAAACTGTTTCTAAAAGGGGTGGTGATAGGGACTTTAGAAGGGAAGGAAAAGGGAGCAGGGATGGGAATGGCTAGTCCACATCTCTCTTTCATAGCCCAACTGGTCCAGTCACTTAGGCAGCTCTGGCTGAGGTAACCATTGTTAACTGGGAAAAAGAGCAGCTTTTTAGCTTTGCCTGAGGCAGAACCCAGCTAGGAGAGAAGAAGCCTGGACTCAGCTAAGAATGATTCCTCACTTCCTGCCCTGCCGCTCCACACACCCCAGGTGTTTAAAAATCATATGACTTCTGTTTCTTCTGGAATGCACCGTGACAGGGTTATCAAAAAGCCAACCAACAGAAAGCAAAAACTTAAAACCCAACCCTCTATTTTCCAAGCCTGTAAGAGACCTATTTCACCCAACACTTGTGACAAAGGCAAAATGTTCTCTTTGAGGGTTTGTGGTTGTTTTTTTTTTTTTTTTTTTTTTTTTTTCCTATCTCACAGACTTAAGCCAAAAGCATTACAGACCCTGGGAGGGAAGCTGGGCTCAGTGGGTGCCCCAGCAATGCTCCTCAGCATGGGGAGATCAGAAGGGGGGTGTGCCCGTGAGTCCCTGCTCCCACGTGCTCGCACTGCACCATAGAAGGCAGTTGACAATGTCATGGCACTTGGCTGTCACTTTTTCTCTCTAATCTAAGTCTTTTCACCTTGGTCTGTGTAGGCACTCTGGAGACGAGCCCCRGGCAAGCTCCCCCTCCCAAAGCAGGAAAACATGCCCATAGTTTACCTGGGCAGCTTCCGCGGCATACAGAAGCCTGCGGCTCCCCCTGCCTGCGCGGATGGTGGCCCTCGCTGTCCCCCTGCCTACGCCATGGTGGGCCTGCACAACCTGGAGGCCCTCGGGGAAAGGAACATCGCCATCCACCCCGGGAGCTTCCCCGACGAGAAGCCTGGACGGGAAGAAAAACCCTCCTTTCCCTACCCAGAGCTGCCCACGGCTCAGGAGAGCTTCCGCCAGAAACTGGCCGCSTTTGCCGGGATGACATCTGGCTGTCCCAAGAGCCCTAGGCCCTGCCCCTCTCCTCAGCCCCTGCGGGAGTCCCTGCCTTCTGAGGATGACAGCGATCAAAGGTGCTCGCCCTCTGGGGACAGTGAAGGCGGAGAATACTGCTCCATTGTGGACTGTTGCCCCGGGAGCCCTGTCGCCAAGGATGCTGCTCGTGSGGAGGGCTCCCGGGGCAGACCTGGMGCAGGGACCTGCTCGCCCACCTGCTGGGAGCAGGGAACTTGTGCTGGGCCTAAGGACGAGGAGAAGCGGGTTCTGAGCTTCCCCAGTGAGTGCTGTGGCCAGGGCCCCACAGCCAACAGGCCCCACCTGGGGCCCAAGAAGCTGTCCCTTGCTTCAGACGCCGCCAGTTCTTCCGATGGCCTGTCCTGCGGCAGCACCCACAGTGGCGCCAGCAGYCCCTTCGCTGCCCACCTTGAGAGCGATTACTGCTCCCTGGTGAAGGAACCAGAGTCTGGGAAGCAACAGGACTCGGGCTGCCACTTGGTGACCTCTARCAGATGCCCAGGGCTGGCTGCAGAGCCCCAGGCCCCACCCCACCCCAGGGACGCTGTACAGCCAGAGCCCATCTATGCCGAGAGCACCAAGAGGAAGAAACCAGTGCCTGTGCCTTCCAGGCCACAGGCCAAGGCAGAACAGGCAGCAGCTACTCAGGGCCAGGGCCAGGTATGGACAGGTGATGTCTGGACTCAGAAAACAGTGTCTGGCTGGAGTCAGGACAGGGAAGGCTCAGACAGGACTCCCCAGGTGTCAGCTACCATTACAGTTATGGCGGCCCACCCAGAAGAGGACCATCGGACCATCTACCTGAGTAGCCCCGACTCTGCAGTGGGGGTGCAGTGGCCACGTGGGCCTGTGAGCCAGAACTCAGAGGCTGGGGAAGAGCAGACCCCAGATGGGCAGGGACCGAGCTCCAGTGAGAGCCATCCTCATGATGCGACTGAGAGCACACCCAAAGGCAGGCCTGCCATCCCCCCCAAGCTGTCYAAGAGTAGCCCTGGTGCATCACCGTCCTCTTCCCCACTGGCTGACCCCGGTGAGGGGGGCTCCAGTGGCAGTGGCATYGGACCCCAGCCTTCATCCCAAGGCCCCACCGACCCCACTTCTTCCTGTCGGATCAATGGCATCGTCAGCAATGAGCCTGCCAGATGTCCTCCACCCACCACCTCTTCAGCCTTGGACCAGAGGCGGCCCAGGTTCCAGACTGGTGCCTGGAGTCGTCAGTGCCGGATAGAGGAAGAGGAGGAGGTGGAGCAGGAATTGTTGAGTCAAAGCTGGGGAAGAGAGACAGAAAATGGCATCATGGACCATTCAAATTCCTCTACCTGGCACCGTCTCCACAGCATGGATGGCTCCTCGGGACAGAATAGCAAAGCTGGGAYTGGGATGAGCAAATCGGCTTCTTTTGCCTTTGAGTTTCCCAAGGACAGAARCAGGATGGAGGCATTCTCACCTCCTCCCCCACCTCCCAAGTCCAGGTGAGTAACAGTGTCCTGTGGGAAAACAACTTGGCTCTTAAGGAAAAGTACCTGCTGGCAGGTCCAGGGCCTCTCTCCAGAAAGCTTGACCTTTGCTGCCTTGCTGGAAGGCCTTTAGGCCCAACCTCCAGGCCTCCCCTCTGGGCAGCAGTGTCTGCCCAGAGGCCATTGTGCCTTTATGTAAATTTTGAAGAGGCCCAGTGSAGCCTTCAGAGAAAAAGAATTATTGTTTGTGCTGGAGCTTTGCAAACAAACTTACAAGCAGAGCCCTGCAGGGTTTGGCTATTTGCAATGAATCTTTAAGGAGCTGGGGTTGTGGCTTAGTGGTAGAGCACTTGCCTAGTGGGTGAGGCACTGGGTTCGATTCTCAGCATGTGTGTAAACGAATAAATCATGAATAAATCAATAAACATCTAAGGAACAAATCTTTTAAAGCTAGAGGTATAGCTCAGGGTGGAATGCATGCTTGAGGGGGACTCTGGGTTCCATCCTCAGCATCACAAAAAGTAAAAATGGTGTTGGGGGGGTGAGAAACCCTGCCAGGCTGTCACCCTTATGGTATCCATATTTTTATACCTGGTACTCTTTTGTTCCATATCTTTCTCTCTCTCTCTCTCTCTCTCTCTCTCTCTCTGTCTCTCTCTCTGGTACTAGGAACTGAACCCAAGGTTGCTTTATCTCAGCCTTTTTTTGTCTTTTTAAAAATTTTCAGACAGGGGCTTGCTGAAGCTAGCCTCAAACTTGCTATCCTCCTGCCTCAGCCTCCCAAGTTGCTGGGCCTGGGTTTTTGTTCTTTTATAAGTGTCTTCTGCAGGATTTTTTTTTAAGGAACTCTGAAGCTTTTTATTTGTATAAGCATGCAAAAGAGGGCTAAAGAAAGCAAAACAGGCAAAGCCAAGTGTGTGCTTAATAAACTATTACCCGGATGGTGATTAGGTACTGGGGCTAAAATTAGAAAAGAGGAAGCTTTGCACTTGGTTAGTAACTCTCAGATGTTTATTTTTTTATTTCATTTTTTCAGTCCTGGGGATTGAACCCAGGGCTTTGTACATGCTAGACAAGCGCTCTACCACTGAGCTACACCCCCAGTCCTCAGATGTGGTTTTTAAAGGGAAAAAAAAATGTAGTTTCATGTTAGCACGTTGAATCTCACAGCTTTTCGCACAGCCTCACTGCTGTCCTGCCAGTTTAAAGTACCTTTCAAAGGCTCCAGAAAAATAAATGCCTTTTTAAAGGTATTGAGCTGTGCATGGGATTTAAATTGTGAGGGGGGAAAAAATCCCTCAGTGAAAGCAAAACTGATTTTATCAGGGGAAAAAAGAAACCTGCTGTTTTTTTWAAAAAAGACAGATTTCTCTAGTCCTGTCATTGCCAGTATTCTGTTTCAGTGGATGTGCCCTAGGTTGATGTCAGAAACAAGGGAATTGACCACAGAGAGAAGCAGCTGTGACACTTGACTTTGAACGTCAAGGCTCTCAGGATGTGATGTGATCTAACGTGGGCTTGTTCTCATGACCATCATCCCTTTGTTCTGGTAATGCATAGGCTGCCTACCATGCAGAATAGACACCTTTCAGATCTTCAGGCGATTGCAGACTCTTTGGCTACAATTTTAACTCCCTGAATGAATGAGCAATTCACCAGCCAAAAATGAACTCCCATCTATATAATACTTCCTAAGGGCCAGGTACAGATTCAGGTATGTTAGACATAATAACTCACTTCAGCCCTAAAGGGGAAGGATTACCATCGCCAATCCCTAGGTGACAAGACAGATATAGAGAGCTGAAGTAAACTGTCCAAGGCCACAACCATACCTAGCAGTCCAGCCCCAGGTCTGTGCTCCTAAACATACAGTACACATGGTCAGGCATAGGAGTATCAGCCCCTTGTATTTGTGTGCCTCTGTTTCTGGTAGGTTGGTGGAAAGTACCATTGTCAGTGTCAGAAAACCAAGTTTATACTCCATCTCTTTTGTTGAGTGGCCTTGCACCAGCTGTTTACTGTGATTTGAGTTTTCGGGTTCCTCTTTTTCTAAAATGGGATGATGATAAGACTTTCATAACATCCTATTATTGAAATAAGTCGAACAACAGAATCTAATGGGGGAGGTAAGTTGTGATGTAGTCAGAATCCACCCAGAGCTGTTAAGTGTGGCAGCAACCACCCATACCCTATAATAGAAACCAGCCTGGTCTGGTCCCGGAAATGCCACCTGAGCCTGGGGAAATAGCTAGAACTTTCTCACTTGAGAATCACAGTGCTTGGAGAAATCCCAGTAACCATAGCAGCATGACTCAGGAAGGGTTTTAATTAGCATCTGGATTGAGATCAGAGTTTTTCAGTCCAATATGTTTTGATAAAACCCTTGGARTAAATTTAGCTCAAATCAGGTAGGAATCTCAGAGGTTCCAGCTCTTAAAGAACAAAACAAAAAGATTAAAAAAAGTTCTTACTTTGGGAGAAAAATGTGGGAAGTAAAATTAACTTAAGGGAACACAGAAAAAAAAAAGAAAAGAGCATCTTGTATTATTTAAAATAAGCCAAACTAGTCCATTTGAGAAGCATTTTCATTTTTCAAGCATTGCTGACATAATCCTTTGAATCTTCATGTCTCCCCTGTGAAGAGATAAGAGGGAAGGCTTGGGACCATAAGCTGACTTTTAAATCTGGAATTCCTCTGGGGAGAGAGGGTACCATGAAGTCTAAAGCCTTCAAACCTAGCTGATTGAGGTGTAGGCAAATCAAGAGTGTTAGTGAGAATTCAGCCCATAGCTGATTCAGTACCAACACCAGTGTGCACCAGTAATTACGGCAGGCTGATGTCTATTTTCCAAAATGGAAGTTATGGAACATCTTCAAGCAACGTGGGAAGTTAAGCTGATTTCTTGCATGGACCCATCTGTTAAATGCTTTCTGTATCTAATGATTAGATATATGTATGCTTTATGCGCTCTGAACTCGAGAAAAAGAATTACTTCATGCAGGACTATGTTACTTTCCACTTACATGGTGTGGAGAGATGGACAGATTTGTCTGCTTTCTTGGGGCCACCATGGAAGAACAGAGAATGAATTTCTGGGTTGTCTATCATCCCCCTCCAAACTGGAGGGGAAAAAATAGATGTCAAGAATGACTTGGTTTTCCTATGGTCCTGTTTCTAATGTTTGATAGTAGTAGCCTATCTATCTTTGAGATACTGTCCTCTGTAAGCTCCCATTTGCATTCCTGAGAAACCTCTTGCTGTAAGGTTCTGCAGAACCAAGATCCTCCAGGCACATTTAATGTACTGAAGGGTCTTGCTCTGGATGTGTTTAGGGTGCTCCCTCTTTCTGAGCAGGAAAGGAACAGTTTGAGCCTTTCCTGACCCTCTGCTGCTAAGGCAACCTCCTATACCCGAACGCTGTAYTTAGAATGATGGGCCACACCAATCTCTGGGTCATTCTGCAGGTTATAAGGTAAGGATTGACAAGTACTGTTGGTTAAGAGTTGAAATACTGCAGGCCTGTTAAACATCACCTTCAAGACTTAAGGCAGTTTAATGAGCTGCARCACCTAGGGAAACAATTAAGATGCAAAAATAATGACATTTCTTTCTGCCCTTTGTTTCTTTGCAGATGCAAACCTAGTTTGAAATGACTTATGACTTTAACAAGTCAGTTAAAGGAGAGTCATCTAGTTAATGCAGATACGTGTTTCACCCCAAATTAGGATGATAGACCTGAGCATGGAGGTGAAATTGAGGATGATAGGTGAATCAGATATGAGACAGGTTTATATAGTTTTAGTTCCCAAATAGTCTGGTCCCAGGTAGATAAGACTAATCAATAGTTTCCTCCAAGAAAGTGAGAGATGTGTTTGTTTTAAAATTATCACTCAGGACCGTTTTAATTTTAACTCACTGCCTGGTCAGGTCTCCCCTTCCTCTCAAGGATGCTGGGGAGCAGAGGGTGAGTATGTCCTTGGGCTTTTTCTCCCTCTTACAGTTGCTCCTGCATTGCTTCTTGGCAGACAGGTAGACACAGTGTCATAAATAGAGCTCTTTTCTGTTCACAGAAGTGGACACTTTGCCAACCCAAGGAACCAAAATGACTTTGTTGTGTGGTCTCTCTTGTAACCTGGTCACTCAGCATGAGSCCGGAGAATGACAATAGAGTGAGTGAGGTGGCTATTTGTCTCCAAACTCCATATCCAATCTGATTAAAGCTCCAGGTGCTTTGTTCTGAAGGCTCCCTGTACTGAAGTGAGTTTCAGGGGGTGGTACCCGTTTACTAGGAAATCCAATAGTTTCGGTGCTGCTTGAGCTTATCTGTGTGGCATTTGAAAATCACAGTTTATATAAGGAAGCTCTGTATTTAGATAATCTTCTTTAACTATGTTTAGGCTTCTTGACCAAATTTAAATAATAAATAGGCTAGAATTGGTCAGAGAGAAATGAATCCTGGGCATACTCCAGTGGGAGAAATTGCCCCCTCCCTACTGTCCCTCGCCAGTTGTACACAGAGATTGGGAAGGAAACAAAGCCTGTGTATCAACAGTGCAAGTTCATACTCTGTGTGAAGCCAGAGGCAAATCAAAAGTTAGCCTCTCCTATGAGTTTGTAGATAGAACCTGGACGCATGGGGGACAGTCCATGTGCCATACGCATTGAAATTGATTCCCATCTTCCTGCTCTGTAATATTTAAGAAAAAAAAATCACTGACTTGACAGTAATTTATATAAACTCGTAAGACATTCTAATTTTGAGCATACATCCTTGTCTAAGGCGAGGAATTAGAGATTCTTTAATTCATCAAATATCTACCAATTGCCTGCTTTTTCTTGGGCTCTGTGCAAGGCGTTTAAAACGCCAGTTACTGGGGTTCTGCCCTAAAGATTCTGAGGGTTGAGTTGATATGAATTAAACCAGCAGATGTGCAGCACAACTGTCAAAGGCTGGCTSCTGCTTTGATTTTCTTTGATGAGTTCTGTTCTCAGAGGATCTGGATTCTTTCTCTAT